GGGGGGGGGGATTACATACAATTACCGTTGGCGAGCTTTCTTTTTTTCCCTTTCTTTTTACCGAGTTAGACTATACCACCTCGATACATTCTACCATATAACCACCTCACTAATTGCATCTCATTAATACGAACAAAGGTTGTGATAGAGTGATAAATATTTATTAATTAAAGATTTTGGGTTTGAACTGTGAGTATGAATAAATAGTGGTTTATCTTTCAATATAAAACTTGTAAGCACGAATTCAAATTTAGTTAAACCTAATGCGAATAAGAAACAAAGAAAACATCTCACCCAATTTTTATTGCGAGTTGGATCATTATTTTTTCATTGACTCAGACACTTACTTAACCCCCTAAAGTTTGACCAAACTTACTCATCATTTGTTGCTCCTACCAATTTTACATGTCATTTTGATGTGTTAATGTTAATTTCATTTATTTTTACAACAAATAACTAGAGTGTAACATTGTATAAATAGTTTCGATGGCACCCGATTAAAAGAAAGTCAAACAAAAATGAAGGTATGTGAACTTCCACTTAAAATTTCACCCTGTTTCACTTAAGTAAATTGTTAACTAAGGTCAAATTTTTCCCGTGAGGGTAATCTTTTTGACAGTAATATAGTATAAGAAGCCTTAATTTTGAATTAAACTTTCATTTAGCTTCATTATGAATATAACTTTTCTAAGTACATGTGCTCTCTTTCTGTACGAAAGATGAAAGAAAACAACAAAACTTATATGTATCTTTCATACTTTAACAAAATAAAGTGAAATTTACTCCAAAATTTAGTGTATATAATCGAGAGTACTGCATGTAAACAAAATATTGTTTGGCTGAAAAGCAATATTGGGGTTGCTTATATTGGAGTTAAAACAGGATTTTCCTACTTAGAAAAAGGAAACCATAAAAGTGAACGAGTGGATTCTTACCAAAATTAGGATCTAGCATATCGTTTGGCATTTGGCATTTGGCAATTGACTGCTTCGACCATAGTCTTGGATATAGACAAGGATCAAGACCCATATTGTCCATTTGAATTTTACATATAATAAAATAACTTTTCTCGAAAATATTTTACCACGTAAAAGTTTATGCTAAAAATTCAGCAATTCAATTAAGAGGAAAGGATACTGACAACGTGTAGTGGAATAAATGTAATGACAACTGAGTAAAATTGGAGATATNTTAAAACTGAATAAACAATTATTTCATAATAAATACTATATTTAAACCAAACTCATGGTTAATAGTATATATCCCAACAATAATAATAAGAAAACAGTAAAAGATTTTATTCAGTAGTGGAGCGTCCATCAAATTTTGGTGAGTGTGATGGTGCTTCGTAAAAGAGGAAAAACAAGAGCAAAAGAATCAAGCTAAGCTAATACAATATGTTAAAATGGAGAGAAAGATTGATAGTATATGAGAACTCTACACGTCATATTTGTAGAGATTTGAGTTTGGTCAACAATGTGTCACCTAAACTAAATGGGTGCCGATAGTAGGCTAGCTGGTGCCAAGGGCGTACGCAGAATTTTCAGTAAATTGTGTCACAATTAATTGATGGCCGATAACCCAAAGGAGTTCAGGGAGATGACCAGATTGAGAAACTGAGTACAGCAATAGTAAGCTAGCACCTAAATGCTTGTCAAGTGGTATCACTTTAGATAATGTGTACAAATTTACTGTTCGCATGTCATTTACAGCTTCGATGTAAAAATTGAAGCGTCATATTGGCTCGTTTGGACAAGACTTGACGTATGTGAAAATGTTAGTGAGCTGGTCCAAGTGGAGTAAATATCCCGTACACAGCTACCTGGTTTTTGCCAGCGTCTTCGGTAGGTCTCTGATGGTTTGGCTCACCTCTCTAAGCTCTCCTTACCAACACAATGTATTTTTATTCTTACGGTTATATTGCTAGTTAATGAAAGAAAGAGTTAGCCACAGACAAAAGCGGATCCCTCCGTGAGTTTAATTTTCAAGTTTTCTAATATTGAACTCGTTATATTTTTAAAGTTATGAATTCATATATATTATTTTTGTAATTTTAATAAATTTTTACATATAAACTTTTACGAGTTCAATTAAACTCGCTGCATATACACTACATTGGCCCCTCGCCATAAACAATTAGGAGCCATTTGGTTCATGGAATAAAGTGAGATAAGATAGTATAAAATTTGGGATTAAATTTATCCCATATTTGATTTGAGGTATTAATTAAACCTGGTATAAAAATATACCACAAATTGGGATTAAATTATCGTATCTCCCAGGTGGGATAATTAATTCTGGGATAAAATTATGAAATGGCCAGATTATCCTTCTTCCCTTTTCACTGCAGGCTTAATCAGATTCAACATTTTTGAGGACTTAATTTCCCGTACACAGCTGGTGTTGAGGCTTCTCTGTGTCGTTCTAATATACAGAGTAATCATCTTGGTTCAGAACTAAGAAGCTTTTCGGCTTCATCATTCGCCTCTGCTTGGATTCTCCATTTCTACAGTAATGTATGAATAATCGATGCCAATACCAGACCACTACCCGTTATTATATTTTGGCTGGTGATTATAATCTTTGTTCTATGTCCCATCTGAAACAGTAATGGCCAGGAACAAGAAGAAGAAAAGAAATATTATATGACTACCTTCACTATAGTTTACAATTGTGTGTAGTGAACAATTTTTCTAAGCCATTAGAATATCCAAGGTTAAAATTAGAAATAAAATTTTCTCCAGCTTTAAAAACAAACACGTATTTTGGATTATATATATATATTGCATATCCCATTTTTTATCTACTGTACCAAACGAAGTATATAGCACAAAATAATTCCAAGATTATAATTCTAGAATTATAATCCCAGAATAACCTTGTCCGCAAACCAAAGGATCCTTATCGTTTGTTTGGGAAACAAGCTATCACATGATTAATTATTCTCGAATCGTTATTTCATCCTTTCATAGGGATAAAAATAACACTACAATTACGGGATTAGTTATATCGTGATTTATCACAACCAAATGGGGTGAGGGCGGGGTTGGAATGGGTGGGTGGTAGGGAGTGGATAGGTGGGGCGGAGTGGGGTGGGTTTGTGGTTGGTTGGTGGGGATAAAGAATAAGGTGTGGAAGGTTGAAACAGAGTTTTGGAAAATATTTTTCTTCTTTTTAATAGGGAAAGCATTTTCCTCCAATTGGAGGAAAATGAGTCCATAAAAAAATATTTTTCAAAATATTTAACCCGACTAAACATGAAAAAATTAGAAATGAACTGGATATGAACAACTCCAATTGGTCTAAATATGACAAAATCATTCTATTAAATTAAAAAGTACATTCGATATAACAAGTATCTGATCTTGTATTAGAATTGGGAAATTCTATTACTCAGATCTCTAGTATTGTCTTATTA